GACCAATAGTGGTATTTTGTGCCAACACTACCCTACTGTGTGCCCCGGGGGGTCTTAGGCTGGGCACAGGGCATGTTCATCCTTGTGACAACACTCTGAGCCATGCGTTACTTTATTTTTCCAGGCAATAAAGCTGACATGTAGGGAGGTGAAGGTCCCTTCTTCGCAGGTGGCAGAGCCGGGGTTCAAACCTAGAAGTGACTGAGCCCAGAGCTGGGGTTCTGGTACCTGCACCTGGCTGGGCAGGTGGCCCTCCCTGGGGCAGTGGGGGGAGGGGGCAGAGGGCTTTCCCAGGTGACCGCTGTCTGGAATGCAGGCCAGGGAGCCCTGCTGCCCTGGGGCTGGCCCAGCCACCTCCCACGTTGGTCACACCCACTGGGGACTGTTGGGTGGGTGCGGGGCTTGCTCTGGGAGATCCAGGCTTCAGAAAGCAGGGCTGTCCTCCAGTGTCCAGCTCGGTTCCAGCAAAGGCTCAAGGCAGGTCCCACTGCCCTTCCCCGTCCAGCAGGGTGTGAAAGGGCGAGTGTAGGGGGGCCCAGACAACCTCCCACCCCACCCCCAGCCTTCGGAGATGGCCTTTTGTCTGGTTATCTTTCATGTGCAGGGTAGAAATTCGAACCACTTGGAGGGTGTAACATGAAAAGTCAGTCTCTTCTTCCCTTCTGCTTGCGACCTTTGGTTTTTCAGGCGCACACCAGCATGCATAAATCTCTCCTCGGCCCCTCGGAGCTTCAAGTTATGCACATTTTCACACAAAGGAGGAGGAGGGTGCGGATTGAAAAGTATGACTCCCTTTGCAGAGGCAGTGCTGAAGTCATTTTATTGTGTTTCCAGGCAAGCCCTGGGAATGCCTGTGCGCTGCCCCTCCCCCCATCTTTGCGGTGCGGTGCGTACAGATCGGAATCTATTTCTTTTAAGTGGCTGCACATTCATTCATTCATTCATTCGATGGATATTTCGGTTCTCTGTTGCTTTGGAAGTGTCGCCCAGACATGGGCTGCCACACAGCCACCGTGCGCTCTGGGGCTCCTGGGTCTGGTGCTCTAGGGGAGGGCAGGGCTGGGCCTGAGGAGCCCAGGGTGACCTCCCAGTCCTCAGATACCCTGGGGCTGGGCAGAATGTGGTAGCAGCTGCTTCTCTGAGGACAGCGCTGGAGGATCCTTCTTAGGTTACGGCAGGAGAGGGCGACCAGGCTGGGTTAGGATTCCTGGCTTGGGATCCTCTTCCGAGACAGGCCCTGATCTGTCACTGATGCTGCCAACACCGGCTGCTCCCGTTTATTAAGCACTTACTACACTTGCCACTACCTCGTATCTTCACTGCAGGGAGGGCTTTTCATCCCCTTTTTACACCCATTTTACAGATGGGGCTCCTGAGGTCGGGGTGAAGGCAGACACTGGGTCCGAGGCTCTGACCTGGCACCGTTCCGGGGGAGTCCCCTGGGGCCAGCTGCCAGGCCCTCCACGTGGGTCATGTCATTTCACCCTTTGGGATGTGTCACCATCGCCATTGGACAGATGAGAAAACTAAGGCCAAGGCTAGAGAAGGGCAAGTTCGTCCCGGAAGCCAAGTCCTCCTCCGTGCCAGACCACGTCCTCCTTACCGTTACCCTTCTGGGCTTCCCTACTGGGTGATCCCAGAGTCACTCCTCCCTCTCTTGGGCACACAGGGGCAGAGGGGGAGCTTCTGGTGCCCACAGTTTGGAAACGAGGTCACAGCCGCCACTGCAGGGGCAGCGGGGCCTGGCTCGGGTGTCAGCTCCTCCCCGATCCGTCTGGAATCCGCATCGCACCCGGATCCGTGCGCATCAGCTTCCCTGCTTCCCTTCCTTCCGGCGCTTCCCACCAGCTCCTGTAATCGTGTCTCCTCGCTGCTCGGTGAGCGCTGTCTGCCTCCCACTGTCGACTCGGAGCGTGGGAAGGCAGGGCCTGGCTCTCTGGGGCACCGCCGGGTCCCCTGTGCCCGCGCCTGGCACACAGTGGAGCAGGCGGAGTGGAGAGGTGCCGGGCGGGTGGGCTTAGGAGAGCACCTTGGTTTTTCCCCGCCTGCAGGTGGGCATGGGCTGGGGGTCTCGTTTCTCTTTCTTGCCTAACTTTTCTCTTCCACTGTGGAATGTTTTGCCCTGGAAGGTGAACAGCCCCTGTTTTATTTGGCAGTAGAAGGCACTTTAATAAGAGGCCCAGCACTGGGACAAGTGTTTCTACAGCCCCTGTCCTCCTCCCCTCTCAAATCTGCCCAGATAAATAGCTTTAGTTATCCCTTTTTTGATGGCTGTAATAGTTTCCTTGCTGGAGAGACAAGAGCTTGAAATGGGGCCTTTCTCCCCCGCCACACCCGAGCTGGGGGTGGCTTTTCCATCTTGCTCCCCACCTCCTCGCGTTCGTCATCTGCCAGAGAACGTCCCCATTGGGGACCGGGGTGGAAGCTTCTGCAGGAGGAGACAGTTGAACTCCATGGTTCCCCTGACCTTGAGGGGCCCAAGGACCCTCTGCTTGTTCCATTGCTTTCTGGAAGCAAGGGGGCAGGGAAGGAGGACTGCAGTAACAGCAAGGGGTGTGGCTTCCCTAGCCAAGGCCACGCTCACGGTCAGGGGCAGGCCAGCATTCGGACCTGGGCACCTGGAGCTCCGCACCTGCTGCCACCTGTGCTCAGGGAAGTCACTCAGGTCAGCAACCTGTCGGGCAGGTGTTCAACAAGGAGCCTCTGCGTGGTGGGGCTTGTCGGGGAAGCGCTGGAGGACCTCTAGGAGGAGGTGACACAGAAGCAGGAGAGGAGGGGAGGGCGTTCCCACGTAAGGAGCTGCTGAGGCCAGAGAGAACCCGTGCGTGCCGTGGTCTTGCGGGGAGGGAGTGGTGGAGGCCAGCAGGGCTCGGCTAGGGTGGCGCAGGGGGGCTGCTGCTGGACTGTGGACACTGGCGGGAGCACGTGGCCCCATAAGGGGTTTGGATTTGTCCCGGAAGGTGCTCAGAAACCATGGGGAGTGCTCAGGTGAGACTGTGTCCGACACTGTGTAACTCGCAGGGGCACTGAGAGACGACTGAGGCATGACACGTCCCCCCTGGAGCCATCTGGTCTGAGTCTGCGGAGACAGGTCTCCCTACTCTTGTGAAGCCCTCCTGCGTGCTGGGCCCTGGCTTGCGCCCAGGGGTGCAGGGATGAACCGTCCACGCCCACCACTTTCCTCAATGTTTTCTTCAGTCCTGGGACCAGGAGTGCCTGTGCTTAGGGCCCCCCAGATACTGCTGCCCTGGGGAGCCAGCAAGGGTTGGACGTGCAGGGGGCTGATCCCAGTCTCCTCCCCAGGCTGGGTCAAGTGCCACCTCTCAGCTCCCACAGCGCCCACCTGGGGATTCCGACTCCTCTGGGAGGGGGAGCCCGTGGCTCCACTGCCCACTGTCCCATGAGCAAATAAGGAAGTGGTCAGTGAGCACGGGCTTTGCAAATAAAGTTTTATTGGCGCACAGCCATTGTCCCTCATTTACATATCGCACGCTGCAAGGCAGGACTGAGTCATTGTAGCGGCGATCGGACTGCCCACAAAGCTGAAAATATTTACCGTCTGGTAGAAAGTTACGGAGAAAGTTGGCAGAGCCCTGCTCTAGGAAGCACAGAGAAGTTGTGTGGCACGTTGGTGAGGAACAGGGACCCTCCCTCGCTGTGCGACCTTAAGCAAGATACTTAACCTCTCTGAGCAAATGAAGGCAGTAGTGACAGCAGATTACTCCCAAGGGTGATGTGAGGACATGGGGGTCCACATAAAGTGCCGGGACAGCATGGCCCCTAGAAAGTGCTGTCTCTCGTAGCTCCTGTGACATCCCATCCCCTGCAGGGTGTAGGCAGGGAACTGGGGGAGGGGGCCTGCTTCCTGGGGAGCGAGCGAGACAGGCTGCTTCAAAGGTGTGGCAGTTTTCATACCCGGTCAGGGATCTACCTGTGTGCCACCCACCCTGTGGGGTTGTGCTCCCGTGGCCCCATCAGCAGGACAGGCTGCAGTGTGGCAGACAAGCCAGTGGCACCAGGCTGTGCCCAGGGGCGGCCACTGGGTGCTCCCTGTCTTGGGAGCCTCGCTGGGCCTGTTCACGGCTCCGTTCTTTTACTGCAGGGGGAGGAAATCCCAGCTGTGGCCCAGCCTCGACTGGCACAACCGGCACAGCTGCCTGGCCTTGGTCGCAGCCCCTGCCTGCTGGCCCCTCTTCCTGTCCCCCACCTCTGCGGACCATGCGCACAAAGCCCCTGAAATGCACCTTTGTACGCGACAAGAGTGGATTGGTCTCCAGAGGCCGACACAGAGGGCCTGCTGCCTAGATAAAGAGACACCCTGAGGGGGCATGGTCGCTAGCCTGGGAGGCCACCAGGAGGTTTCCTGCTGGGCAGGGCCACATCTGTGGGGGACAGCGAATCACCGCAGCCTGATCCAGGGCCCTGTGGGTCCGGGGCCCCAAGGTTTCCTCTTGCTCTCCTGCTGGGCTGCCAGCCTGGCCTCAGGAGGCCGGGTGTGCATCCTCCGCCTGGCCACAGGTGACCCTTGGCCAGGTGTGCATTTGTCCCCTGGGCGCATCGTAGTGAGGGGAGTGGGGAGGAAGGGGGAAGAGGGAACAGCACGTGCAAAGGCCCAGAGCCTGATGTGTTTAGGGCCTGGGGGATTGAGTGTGGCCGTGTGAAGGGGCTGGGGAGGGGACAGGCTTGACAAATGAGGGTTATGGGTCACACAGGGCCTTGGCTGCCAGTCCCAGAGCTCGGAAGCTCTGACATCTCCTGGATGAAGATTTTTAAAAGGCATGGAGGAACACAGTCCTGCTTGTTGTTTGTTTTTCTTTTTCTTTTCTATTTTTTTTTTTTTTTCAGTTTGGTTTGTCAAATATTTCCCAGGTGTCTCCTATGTGCCAGGGACTGGCTTGGGGGCATAGCTGTGACTGTCAGAAAACACCGGCTCCTGTGACTATGCAGACCAGCTCGCCCTTAGCCCCGGCTGCCCTGGCCCAAGCCCCACCCCCCGCTGCATGCAGCCAGGCTTCCCTTTGGCCACAGGTCCCGTGGTCGCCTGCCCGGCGCCAGGTTGGAGAGGGGCGCCTGAGGCAATGGGTTGGGTTGCCAGGCTGCTTGGTAAACAGGCCCTCCCTGGGTCTACTTGCTAACGCCAGACACGGCTAACAGGTCTCCTTTATCTCCTGGCCCAGGAGGGATGTGGGCCTGGGCACTGTGCCAAGGCTTGTGTCCTTTCCTGGATATGGGGGCACCATGTCTTGAGTCCCCTGAGGGTGCAGCATGGCTGTGAACCTGATATGGTAGCCTGCCAGTCCCCTCCTGCTCCTGGGGTCAGGAGGTTCCTCCAGGCCCTGGCCCCTCAGGAGGGCCACACCTGGCTCCTGGCATGGGAGGGAGTCTGGCTGCACCCCAGGGTGTGGCTGGGGACCTGCCCCCCAAGGGCCTGGCCCAGTGAATATCCGGACTCGTTAACTGGGAACGTTTTACTTTTTCTATTGAGGTAAAATTCACATATAAATGGAGTCATACATCATGTGGCCTTTTGTGTCTGGCTTTTGTCCCTGAGCACGGTGTTTCTGAGATTCATGCACGTCATAGCATGTATCAGCGCTTCATCACTTTTTAAGGCTGAATAATATTTTCATTTTCTAGACATACCATATCTTGTTATTCATTTGTTAGTTGATGACATCATTTGGGTTGTGTTTTTACCCTTTGGCTATTATGAATATGTACTGCTATGAATATTTGCACATAAGTATTGGTTTGAGTCTCTGCTTTTTTACTTAATTTGTTTTTTAGAGACAGGGTCCCGCTCTGTCACTCAGGTTAGAGTGCAGTGGCGAGATCATAGCTCACAGCAACCTCGAACTCCCAGGCTCAAATGATCCTCCTGTCTCAGCCACATGAGTAGCTGGGACTACAGGTGTGCACCACCACGCCCAGTTAATGTTGTGTGTGTGTGTGGAGACGGGGTCTCCCTATGTTGCCCAGGATGGTGTGAAACTCCTGGGCTCAAGTGATCCTTCTGCCTTGGCATCCCAAAGTGCTGGGATTACAGGCGTGAGCTGCCAACGCCCAGCCCCAGTTTATTTTTTTCTTCTGTTGCTCATCCTCATGTCATACTTAGCAATCCATTGCCAAATCTAAGGTCACAAAGATTTACCTCTATGATTTTTTCCTAAGAGTTTTATAGTTTTACCTCTTATATTTAAGTCATTGATCCATTTTGAGTGTTCATCTATATATGGCGTGAGGTAGGGGTCCACCTTCATTCTTTTCCATGTGGCTGTCCTGCTGTCCCAGCAGCATTCCTTGAAGAGACTATTCTTTCCTTGTGGAATGTTCTTGGCCCCCTTGTGGGAAAGCAATTGACCATAAATGTAAGGGTTTATTTCTGGACTCTAATTCTGTTCCATTGATCCACATTCTGTTCTTTTGCCAGCACCACTACACTGTTTTCATTCCCGTGCTTTTGTAGTAAATTCTGAAACTGAGATGGGTGAATCCTCTAGGCTTTGTTCTTTTTCAAGATCATGTTGGCTATTCCGGGTGATTGGGAACGTTTTTGCCACATTTGCGCTCATGCTTCTCTCTGTAGTTGATTTTGTTGTTCTTCATTTGATGAGAACATTCAAAAGCAAGTGGCAGACATCATAAGAATTCACTCTAAATGTTGCTGCGTGTATGTTCTAAGAGCAAAGGCACTCTTCTACAAAACCACAATGCCATCGTCACATCCCAGTCATTTAAAGTTGTTGCATAAACACTCTGGACTCATATTTCCCCAGGCTGGAGTGCAGTGGCGCCATCGTAGCTCACTGTAGCCTCGAACTCCTGGGTTCAAGGGATCCTCCTGCCTTAGCCTCCCGAGTCGCTGGGACTATAGGCATGTGCCACAACACTAATTTTTCTAATTTTTTTAGAGAAGGGGTCTCACTCTTGCTCAGGTTGGTCTCGAACTCCTGGCCTCAAGTGAGCCTCCTGCCTCAGCCTCCCGAGTCGCTGGGATTAGGCATACGCCACTGCACCCAGCCTTCATAGCTTTTTAAAAATGTTTTTCGGCCGGGCGTGGGGGCTCACGCCTGTAATCCCAGCAGTCTGGGAGGCCGAGGCGGGAGGATCGCTTGAGCTCAGGAGTTCGAAACCAGCCTGAGCAAGAGCGAGAATCCGTCTCTATTAAAAATAGAAAGAAATTAGCTGGACAACTAAAAATATATATATAAAAAAATTAGCCCAGCATGGTGGCGCATGCCTGTAGTCCAAGCTACTTGGGAGGCTGAGGCAGAAGAATTGCTTAAGCCCAGGAGTTTGAGGTTGCTGTGAGCTAGGCTGATGCCACGGCACTCTAGCCCGGGCAACAGAGTGAGATCTGTCTCAAAAAAGAAAAAAAACGTTTTTCACTGGGCTCCAGCTCAGGGTCACACTTTGCATTTGATGGCTACTTCCCTTTCGTCTCTTGCTTTCTGGAATAGTTCCCAGCAGCGTTTGTCTTTTCTGACTTTGGCTGTTTTGAGGAGAGTGGGCTGGTTGCCTTGTAGACTGCTCCATGATCTACCATTGTCTGTTTCTGTCCCCTTATGGTGAGGCTAGGGTAGGCGTCTTTGCCTAGAAACCACACATACTCCGTGTCCGTCCTGCTGCAGCTCGGCAGGGGCTCAGCACCGCGTCAGGCGGTTCTGTTCCTGGTGACGCTCAGTTTCATCATTTGGCCGAGGCGGCAGGGAGTGCCGCATGCTCGTGCAATGAATGCCGAGTGACAGTCACCGTGAGAGCTTGGGATGCCATGCTTCCCGTACGCCGGTCCCGTGATGTGTCATGACTTGTTAGACTCCTGCCCCCACCGAGGGCCCCTTCTGATACCGAGAAACCCGTGGCTCCGAGAGGCTGTGTGACCTGCCTGTGCCACACCCTGAGCAGAAGGCGCAGGTGGGGCGTGAGCCCGGGCATGCTGGCTCCAGTGGCCACACTCGAAGTCACTACACCACACAGACCCAAGCAGGAAAGGGCTCAGCCAAAGGGAGCAGAGGTGACTTAGGCTCTGAAGCCTGTGAAGGCCAGTGACACCCCCCATGTGACATAGCAGGACCTGTGAATGGTGCCCGACTCCCTCAGTTGGTCCTGAGACTGGCTGCCGGCTTCCAGTGACCCTCTTGTCCCTGCTATAAGTGCCCTTTCCTCGCCTGTGTAGCACTGCGCAGTGGCCCTGTCTGCCCACCTCAGCCTGCATAGGGCCAGGACGCCTTCACCGTGTCCCCGTCTCAGCCCTGCTCACCCTGTGGACATCGTCCTGCCCCACTGGCTACTGAGCTCCTTGGGGACACAGGCTGTGTCCCTGCTGCCTGATGGGCCACCCCCTCGTCCTCAGTATGGGCCGGGAAGGCAGGGCACCCAGAGGCACTTCCAGGACGGTTTCGTGGCACCGAGGAAGAATCTGGGGGTGCCGAGAGGAGGGAGGGAGGGTGGCGGGGACACGGGCTCAAAGGAAGGCGGCTGGTGGGAGCCACCACTCACGTCAGCCTCTCTTCTCTCGCAGACGAAGATGTGTGCGTGTTCAAGTGCTCGGTGTCCCGAGAGACGGAGTGCAGCCGCGTGGGCAAGCAGTCCTTCATCATCACCCTGGGCTGCAACAGCGTCCTCATCCAGTTCGCCACCCCCAACGGTACGTGGCCGCCCGCGGTCCCGGTGACAAGCAGCCTGAGCACCCCAGCCACAGTGGGCGGGGTTCGTGGGGCCTGGCCAGATGGTGGCCCATACACCCCGGCGAATGCTCCGCTGCCATCAGCAATCATGTTCCCGTGTGCACATGTGTCCAGAGTCCATTCCCGCTGCCTGGAACAAACGCTGTGCCCTAATCTGCCCTCGCTCACTCCTTCGGGTCCTTCAGGGCTTGGCCCTTATGTCTCCTTCTCGGAGACACCTGTACTGACCACCTGGGCCCAGCCTTCCCAATAGCGGCCAATGCCTGGCCGGCTGTGACTGGATCACAGGAATGGGACAAGCAGGTCCCAGGGGCAGGCAGAGCTTGTCCTGGGCTCCGAGAGAAGCTGCTGGGGGTCCTAAGCACACCTGTGTGGGGACATAGGTGGACACACAAGATCCCCAAGGAGGGCTTGGGGGACTCAGAGGAGCGCAGCTTGGGGCTTGGGGCCGGGGAGGCAGTGGAGGCGGTGGGTGATGCCCTCCGCTGGAGACCGTTTGAAGGTCCCACCCCGGGGCGTGGTCACCAGACTGCTGAATTGGCCCCTACCTCCTGCCAGAGCATTTACCCTCCACAACCCATTTCTTTCTTTACGTACATAAATAATCCCAGTTCACTGTTCAGAAAAAGAAGTTAAGAACGCCACCACCAGGGACAGCCTTGAGTGTGGTATTATAAATCCCAGTAGTTTTTTCCTACTCTGTGACTATTTATATTTTAATATTTTTTCTTTCCATTCTATGAGTTTTTTAAAATTGCACTCACATCTACATAACCCGAAGTTGACCATTTTAACCCTTTCTGAGTGGGCAGTTCAGTGGTAGTGAGTACATTCACGTTGTTGTGTAACCATCACCACCATCTGCTTCCAGAACTTTCTCATCATCCTAAACTGTATTTAAATTTTTAAATTTTTTGTAGCGAGGGGTCTCACTGTGTTGCTCAGGCTGGTTGCAAACTCCTGGGAGCAAGTGATTCTCCTGCCTCAGCCTCCCCAGAGGCTGGGACTGCAGGCTCGAGCCACCACACCCGACTATTTTACTTATTTAAAGAGATTGTCTTATAATTACTGTTGTGCTGTTTTTTCTTTTTACTCAATGTGATTTAGCAGCCATAATTTTGTGTTAATAAATGTAGCTCATTTTAAAGGCATGCGTAACCGCGGCTTCCTGGGGCAGGGTGGTGCTCAGTTCCCCACTGTGCTCCTCTGTGTCCACGGGCTTCATCCTGTCCCCTCTTAGTGGACATTGAGAGGTCCACTGCCGTGCACACATGCTGCCCTGAGCTGCTGGGTGGGCATGGGCTTATTTGCCAGTTTTGACACCCGGGCCAGGGGGCGTGTGCTCGGGAAGGCCTTGCCCAGCTGCCCTTTGGCCAGGAAACCCCAGACCTGCTCCCATCAGACAGCGCAATGTGCGCGGTCACCTGCCACTACCTTGTGATAGTCACCAGGGGGCAGGCATGGCTGCCCTTGTTGTCTTTGAAATGTGAACACTGCATTGTTTTCTGGGAAAAAACATCACCAGCCACACACGTTCAAGGCAGAAAAGGCAGGGCGTGCAGCCCGACAGAAGGACAGTCACAGTTGTCCAGAACTCGCCCTCCCCAATGGCCACGTGCACTGGCCTCCTGGGGCAGGTAGCTGAACAACCCCCCCCGCCCCCCGCCGTGACCTGGCTTCCCTGTTCCAGATTTTTGTTCCTTCTACAACATCCTGAAAACCTGCCGGGGCCACACCCTGGAGCGGTCCGTGTTCAGCGAACGGACGGAGGAGTCCTCCGCGGTGCAGTACTTCCAGGTGGGTTGTGCCCACCCTCGGCCCAGCCGCGGCCCCCGGCAGCCCCCTTCCCACCCACCCGCAGGAGGCCGTGCAGCACAGGGCAGGCCCACCTGGGTTCCCGTCCTGGCTCTGCCCCCTACTAGCCGCGTAGCCTTGGGCAGGTTTCCTCCACTTGCTGGGCCTCAGTTTCCTCATCTGTGAAGCGGAGATGCAGGTGCCTGCTTAACAGGGTTGCTGGAAGGAGCTGAGCGCGGGCAAAGCTCAGGGCCACAGGCGTTTTGAATGACGGTAGAGCAGTTACAATGTCCTGAACAGTCCCCGCATGCCAGGCCCTGGTCTGAGCTCTCTGGCTTGCACAGAAGCGCTCGGACCCTCCCAACAACTCTAGGAGGTAAGTACTATTATTGTCCCCATTTTACAGATGAGAAAACTGAGGCTCAGAGAGGTTAAGTGACTTGCTCCAAGTCACACAGCTATTATGCAACAGAGCCAAGATGGGAAGCCAGGTCTGCCTGATGTCAAAGCCTGTGCCCCTGTCCAGGTGCCACGCTGCCTTCTGGTCGCCCGTTGTCTTACAGAGAGACCCCGCACCTCATCTGCCTGGCGCTCTGAGTTCTAGGGTTCTGTTCGATCTGCTCCTCTGCTTCTTTGGGGCCCCCAAGATGGGGCAGGTGGCCCCATGCAGGAACTCCGCCTGTGGCAAATCTTGAGTTCCCGTGGGCGGCTTCCAGGTCCAGGCAGCATCCAGCTGTGTCCTTCGGCCGCGGTGACAGTGGTGGTGTCCCCACTGGGGGCTGCCTTCTGGCTTCCTGCTCCCTCTCCCGGAGGTGTCAGCGGGGCCCAGTCAGAGGGCGCGCGGCCTCCCGAGGGAGGTTTGTGCCAGAGGTGGCCCTGCTCTGTCACAGAGCTGGCCTGGGCCTCGGCCGTCTGTCATGCCACGTGCCCTGTGCCATTGGTGTGTCTCTGTTCCAGTTTTATGGCTACCTGTCCCAGCAGCAGAACATGATGCAGGACTACGTGCGAACGGGCACCTACCAGCGCGCCATCCTGCAGAACCACACCGACTTCAAGGACAAGGTGAGTGGGTGCAGGAGTAGGGGCCCGAGGCCACTAGAGGTCCCCTGGAGAGCCTGAGGGACCAGCTCCACGCCTCCCTCCTTGCTTCTGTAGCCTCTATATTTTTTTTAAGAGACAAGGTCTCGCTCTGTCGCCCAGGCTAGAGTGCAGTGGCGCAGTCATAGATCACTGTAGCGCTGAACTCCTGGGCTCAAGCCATCCTTCTGCGTCAGCCTCCTGAGCAGCTGGGACTACAGGTGCAGCCACCACGCCCGACTAAATTTTTTCATTTTCTGTAGAGACAAGGTCTGGCTGTGTTGCCCAGTCTGGTCTTGAACTTCTGGCCTCAGCTGCTCCTCCCTCCTCAGCCTCTTCAGTAGCTGGGACTACAGGCGGGCGCCACCATGCCCAACTATCTATTTTATTTTTCATTGCTCTTTGATTTTATCTTTAATTTGTTCAGATTGCAAAAGTAAAAGCTCCTTAACGTTTAGATTCAACACGGCACATGCAACACAGGCACGAGAGGCCTGTCCCTGCCTTCTAATGCAGCCGCTGTCCGGCATAAGGTCTTTCTCCAGGTTTTCCCCGTGCAGACATGAGCAGCAATTTTAGAAGTTTATCGCTGAGTCCTTTTATTTAAAAAATGGAATTGGATTGCATTTCACATACTTTTCTGGAAAACACTTTTTTATCCCCGTAATGACATATCTTAGGACATACTATTTTTTTCCTCCCCAGCCTTAATGAGGTATGATTAACAAATAAAAATTGGCCGTGTTTAAGGTGGACGGCGGCGACGCTTGGATGTGTGTGCACGTTTGTGAGACGGGTACCGCAATTGAGGTCACATCCGTCACACAGCTACTTCTTCTGCGTGCGGTGAAAACACTGACGATCTCATCTCTTAGCAAATTTCGAGTATAGTCGAGCACTGCGTGACAACAGTTTGGTCAACGATGGACCGCGTATAGGACAGTGGTCCCGGAAGCTCGTGATACCGTATTTTTACTGTCCCTTTTCTATGTTTAGATATGTTCGGATACACACATATTTCCCGTTGTATTTCAGTCGCCTACAGCATTCAGTACGGTAATTTGCCGTACAGGTTGCAGCCTGGAAGCCACAGGGCCGTGGCACACAGCCTGGGCGTGCCGTAGGTTTGTGTGAGGGCACCACGACGATGGCACAGCGATGGAGTCACCTAACGGTGCATGTCTCAGCACCTAGCCCCATTGTTAAGTGACGCACGACTGTACACAGGACAGTAGTATTCACTCTATTCGCCAAGCTGGACATCAGGTCCCCAGAACATCTTGGGACATGCTCTTAAGTCATGTGCATATACTGGAATGTACCAGTCACTTCCCTGCCTCCTTTGAAAAGCTTTTTAATATTGCCAAATAATGGACAGTCCTAATTACAGGGAGGCAGAGGGAACAGTACACAAGTAGGAACTGATTTCCTTCTTATCCCGTTGCTCAGAGGTTTCCCTTTTGAACTCAGTGGGAGCTTGTGTTTTCCTTCGATATATCTTGGGGGCTCGCCACGTGGGTCCGTGTGGATCTGCCTCGTCCAGCGCCCGGGTCATGGCCCTCCGCATTGCTGGGCCTCCGGGCTCCAGGAAGGGGTTGTCCTGACACGTCAGCTGTCTGCTCTGGCCAGGCCAACCCCAGCTTCCTCCTGGCCACTGGCTCGAACATGCTGGAGCAGCGCTTGGGGCCTGGATGGGCCGTGCTGCTTTGGCAAGGTCCCTTTTTGCTCCCCCAGAACGGAGATCCGTTTCTTGGTTCATCCAGAGCTCTGAGGGGCACCCTAAGGCCCTCCCACCTGACACCAGCTTCCCTACCGGGCATTCACTATCCCAGAGCCATTCTTAGAAAGCTCATGCACATCGCCACCAGAAAACTGCGGCAGCAATCCCACAGATCCAGAACGCGGAGCGTTCTCCCCACCCTGGCCCGATCTCTGCCAAGTCAATGTCACGGGGCAGCACCCCTAGGGGGTGCCCAACCGGTTGAGGGGTTTGGGTGTCCCACCCACCCCAGCCAAGGCACTGCCTGCTTCTCTGGGCAGGAGTCAGCGTGGATGTGGGAAATGCTGCCACCAATGCCCCCCCGGGCCCCTTTCCTCCCCAACAGGGCCACAGACGCTCCAAAAGGACGCCTCTCAGCTGCCGGCCACGTGGGAGCTTGCCCCGGGCTCCTCCTCCCAGAGGACTGGCCCCTGGCTCGGTTGTCTTTAGTTCTCCCTTTATTTTGACCAAGCCGGAGAGTGAAGACAGGCCTGGGTGTGACGCCTGGTGACGCGCACATCCCTCATAATCACTGTCATCTCCTGGTGTCCTGCTCTTCCCCTCCCCCTCCTCCCTCAGATCGTTCTCGATGTTGGCTGTGGCTCCGGGATCCTGTCATTTTTCGCCGCCCAAGCTGGAGCAAGGAAGATCTATGCGGTGGAGGCCAGCACCATGGCCCAGCACGCCGAGGTCAGTGTCCCGCTGGTGGCCACCCAGCGTCACCCCCTCCCTCAGCACTGTGGCCACCTGGCCTGGGGAAGCCACCAGGAGACCCAACCCCTGGCCCGGGAGCCTGAGGACGTCACTTCTGTGCTTTGCTCTCTCCCTTGTCCCAACCGATTGGTCAGGGGAGGCAGGGGGCCCGAGGGCCCTGAGTCCTCTCCATGACTGACTGGTCACTCTTGGGGTCAGGGCAGTTGTCATTTTCCGTTTTTCTGTTTTTGGCCCTGAAACTAATTTGCAAGGTTCAAAATGTAAAAGCTGCAAACGTGCAAACAGGGAAAATGCTCCCCTGCCCGACCTTGGCTCCCCTCAGCCCAGCCCCCCTCATGAGCTATGTCCTCAAAATCCTTCTAGGGCTTTCCTGTGTCTGTGGAAGCGAGCGTCCGTCTCCCCCTGTGGAGGAGGCATGCCGCCGTCCTGCTCCCTGCTCTGCCCCTGTCCCTTGTGTGGGCCTGTCTGTAGGACAGATCCTAGCCTTGGGATCACTGGCTTGGGGTGCGTCTTTTGTGGCTTTGGTGGCTGTTGCAGAGTCTGCTTGTCCTCTCTCCGTGGCCATCAGTAGCTGTCCTTGCAGGGTGGGGGACCTGGGATGCCACCATGGGGCAGCCCCGAGACAGGGCTGGGCCGCAGTGAGCTCTCAACGAGCTGTGGCTGATCCTGGCTTTGGTTGGGACGCCTGTGAAGGAGGCAGAGAGGCACTTGGTGGCATGTGGGGACAAGGCCCTCCCTTGAGAGGAGGGTCTGGGGAGGGCCCCGTGGCAGGTAGGCTCTGGGAGCGTGCAAACCCTAACGGTCCGCCTGCCCACAGGTCTTGGTGAAGAGTAACAACCTGACCGACCGCATCGTGGTCATCCCCGGCAAGGTGGAGGAGGTCTCACTCCCCGAGCAGGTGGACATCATCATCTCGGAGCCCATGGGCTACATGCTCTTCAACGAGCGCATGCTTGAGAGCTACCTCCACGCCAAGAAGTACCTGAAGCCCAGCGGTGAGTGTCCCTGCTGGCATGCGGTGCCAGCAGGGCCGGCAGGGTGGCAACCTTCTCAGACGGCAGGCTGGGGCAGCTGCCAGGTAGGGGCATCAGCCGAGAGGCCAGTGCTGCACCACCAGGCAGGGCAGCCAGGGTCCTTTGGCCAAGCCCCCAGGCTGCTACTTAGTTGAGCTTTTGGTGGCTCAGTTCCCTGCTTGCCCGTGTCAGTGATCTGGGGTATGGAGGTTCTGGGCCTTTCTTCCGTCCCTACCCCTGTCCCACTCCAGCTGGCTGTGGCTTCAGGAACCCTGGGCCCCAAACAAGGCCAGACATCAGGTGCCCACCCACCCAGACAGAATGCGGAGGGGTCCCCCTCAGGCCCCCAGGGAGCCCCTGGGCAACATCCTTGTGTCCTGGTTCAATAGGACAGCTTCTGGCTGGGCCTGGGGATTGGGACAGATTCCGAGATCCCTGACAGGCCCTGCTCTCCTCAGAGTCCGGGAGGTGGGGCGGGTGTACGTGTGGAGGTGTATGGGGTGTGGGTGCACGTGCGAGTGCCGGGAGGCAGCTGTCTGGCGAGCCCGTCTGTCACCTCCTGTCCATGCCTCTGGGTACAAGCCTGTGAGTCACTGGGCAACTGTGTACATCTGCCTGTCTGTCACCGTGGGTCTCTGCTTGGTTCTGGGTACGTGTCTGTGTCTGAGTGTTCCCGTACGGGCATGGAGCTGGGGCACAGGAGTCCCGGCCAGGGTAGCAGCTGTGGGGCAGAGCGTGGGAAGCAGCAGGCTGGCGGGGCCCCAGCAGGCAGTAGTTCACTTGGTCTGTAGGAAAGTTCTCACTTGGGTCCTCTCACCATCCCTGGATCTAGGCCTCAGAGACCTGCCTCGGGCTCTGCTTCTGGAGGTGGGAGGTGGCTACCCCTTCCCACAGCTGTGTCCTGTGTCCTGGGTGTGAATGTGGGAGGTGGGGCTTCTGTCCAGCTCTGGAAGCTCTTTTGGGGATCAAAGGGAGCCCTTCCCCCAGCCATACGCCTCTGGGCCTACAGGAGCCAGAGGTGCTTTGGGCTGGGGACACTTTCCCATGGTACCCCCAGGTCCTCCGGAGCATGTGGCCCAGCACGTGGCCTCCAAGTCTGAGCTGAGTGTCTCCGCCTGCCCCCACAGACATGCAGCCCAGCATTTCTAGCCTCTGCTACAGGCTGGAGGGGGCAAGGAGGAGACAGAGTCCTGCTGGCACTTCAGACCCTCCCTTCCCCAGCTTGGAAGGGTTGGGGAAGGCCCACATCTGGTGGCCAGGTGTTCCCCAAGGGCAGGCGGGGCCTTGAAACCCTGACTCATCTCTGCTCGTTGAGTCACAGATGTTGGACCCTGTTCCTCCTCCTCTTTCAGGCCATGCGCCCAGACCAGGGTGGCCAAGCGGCCCACCCTGCTGGCCTGGTGTCTACCAGAGCCAGGGCAGTGCTGGTGCTGGGGATTCGGTTTCCCCCACCCAGCCTGTCACCTCAACTGAGGCCCGGTCTACCCCTCCCCGCAATCCGGAGCAACTTTGCTTTCCCCGGCTGCGTGTGCACGGACGACAGCACCTGAGAGGCACCACTTGCTTAGCTGTGAGGCCCTGGCAGGTCCCTTTCTGCGTCGCAGGCCTAGTAACGGGACATAAAGATAAGCCCACTCACCTCCCCAGGGCTCGATCAGATTTACTGAGGTGGCACAGGTTGAGTGGGCATCAGGGCAGATGTGGCACTCAGCAGCCCTGTGTCACATGGTTGCATAAACGAACGAATGAGAGTCTGGGAAAGCCCAAGGCCAGGGGTCTTGGGGCCCTCTGGAAGCTCTGCCAGGCCCTGCAGGATGCGCCACCTGACGCCAGCACCCCCCTGCCCCCACTCCCAGGAAACATGTTCCCTACCATTGGCGATGTCCACCTCGCACCCTTCACGGATGAACAGCTCTACATGGAGCAGTTCACCAAAGCCAACTTCTGGTGAGTGTGCCCTGGTGTCCTGCCTGGGCCCCATGGCCTGCCTTCTTAGGGACTGTCCCTAGCCACCCAGGGAGCCTCAACTCCTCTTGTTCTCCTCCTCCTTGGTAGGACCTAAAAGACTTGGGCTGCACGAGGGCCAGCTGGGAGAGAAGGCAGGGCTACCCCGCCTGCCTCTCCTGCCGCTGGTGACCTTGCCGTCGGGGTGGGGGCTTCCCGCAGGTACCAGCCATCCTTCCACGGAGTGGACCTGTCGGCCCTCCGAGGTGCCGCAGTGGACGAGTATTTCCGGCAGCCTGTAGTGGTGAGTTGGACACCCAGGACACTGTCACAGTTCTCAGTGGACGTGGCTCTCCTGTGTGTGATGGGAGGGGGTGTGGCCTTCATCCTCAGGCTTTGTCTGAGCTGGGTATGCGGCCTTGGGGCAGCCACTGCCCCGCTCAGCCCTCGCTTCTGCCCTGCACAGAGCTCTCTCACAGAGATGTTGGGACTAGAGTGGCAATACATGTAGAGCACTTGGCACATAGCAAGCAGACGGTATGTGCCAGCTGTTAGTAGATGAATTGATCCTTGGTGAACCATGTAGCTCCATAATCAAAAATCAAGGGTGTAAAAGAGAAACGCCTCCCTACCTCTGATCCCACCTGCACAGCTTCCCTTCCTGTAGGCAAGCGGCATTTCTTATCTTTCCAGAGGTTTGACACTTAAATGTACATATTGAAATATATGTATTTTTTTAACTGTTTTTCCTCACAAAATATAGCATAATCAACATGCTGTTCTGTCTTAATTTCTCTGTGGTCATGCAGCGTATGATTTCATTCCTTTGAAATTTGCTGAGATTTGCTTTAAGTTCAGTATGTGGTCTCTTTTGGTTAATGTTCTATGTGCACTTGAAAAAAATACATACTAATCACTTGCAGAGTGCAGTAATTAGGTCACATGTGTTAATCACATTGGTCACAGTTTCTCTACTTTTTTATCTGTTTTTCCTATCTATTACTGATCATAGACTTGTTGATTTTTCCATTTCATTATGATAACTTTTGCTTTATATATTTTGACATCGAGTTGTTAAGGACATACAGATTTAGGTTTATTATCTCTTCTGTTGGATTGATTCTTTTGTATTATAAAGTATCTCTTTTTGTCTCCAGTAGTACTTCTTGTCTTAAACTCTGTTTTCTTATAGTAATTCAGCTTCACTGGCATTCTTTTGCTTAATCTTTATACAGTCTATCTTTTTCTGTCCTCCTACTTTTAACTTGTTTGTGCCTTATTACTTAAGAGTTGTTTTTTGTAAGCAGCATATAATTGTGTTTGTTTTTTTAACAAGATTGAACTTTTTGTTTTTTAATTAGAACATTTAGACCATTTATATTTAATGTAATTACTGATCTGTATGGGTATAAATCTATCTAATCTTACTATTTTTCTACTTATCCTGTTTTTTCTTTATGTTTTTCTTGCCTTCCTGTTTAAAAATAATTTGTTTTATTATTCTATAAGAGCCCACCCATGTTTTTCACTAGTTTTGGGAGACTCTTGGACAGTATCTCTTTAAACACTATCTTTGCTCCATCCTATTTCTCCTTCTGGAATGCCGATTACATGTACAGTGGACCTTTTCACCATGTCTCAGATAATTCTTTTTTTTTTTTCTTAAGACATTGCAGTAAATGTATCATGTGATTCTTACACACTTTTCTGTCTTTTCCATCCATTTTTCTCTCATTACTTCCTTCATAATTTTTACTGCTCCATCATCCAATTGCAGTTCTATCTCGTGTCTAGTTTGTTTTCCTGACTCTTAATTTCAGTTACTGTAATTTTTCCAGTCTAGTTATACCAGTTCTCTATGAAATTCTCCATTTTTTTTATATCTTTTTTTTTCTTTAAATATTAGTTATAACTATCTGATCACTTTCAGTATCTGGAAGAGTGGTGGATGTGTTTCTCTTGGTTTCTAGTCTTGGTTTTGGGTCCTGGTCCTTTGGTCTTGTCTCTTAGTGTCCCTGACCATTGAAAGCCAAAATGACAAACTATAGAGGGTCTGGATGATGTTTTTCCTTCCAAGGATTTGTTTTTCCCAGGCAGTTAGCCATATGGACAGATCACCTTGGTCCTGTTAGGCATCTGAGATATTTTGAGGCTGCTTTTCAGACTCTATTTCGCTGGCCTACTTCCTGGCTTTTCTGTAGGGCAGCAGTTCTCAAACATTTTGGTCCCGGGACCCCTTTACAGTCTTAAATATTGAGGATCCTAAAGAGCTTTTCTTTACATGTATCTATTAATACGGTGTCAATACCTCTTGGTATTACAGACTAAAGCCAAGAAACTTAAAAATCAACTCATTTAAAAAAATAATAAACCTATTACATATTAACATAAGTAGCAATTTTTTATTTAAAAAATATTTCCCAGAAAAATTTTTTAATGAGAATATGACTTTTTATTTTTTTTTCTTTCTTAAGACAGGGTCTTGCTCTGTCTCCAGGGCTAGAGCGCGGTAGTGTCATCGTAGCTCACTGCAGCCTTAAACTCCTGGGTTGAAGCGATCCTCCTGCCTCAGCCTCCTGGGTAGCTGGGACTACAGGCACCTATCACCACACCTGGCTAATTTTTCTATTTTTAGCAGAGATGTGGTCTTGCTCAGGCTGGTCTTGAACTGCTGGCCTCAAGTGATCCTCCCACCTTGGCCTCCCAGAGTGCTAGGATTACAGGCCTGGGCCACCATGCAGGCCTGAGTAGTGGCATTATTAATGTGCACATATCTTTAATATCTGGCTTGATAGAAGATGGCCAGATTCTGCATCTTCAAACATCTTGGTATTATTATGAAAACAGGTTTGACCTTCAGGGCGAGGGGACCACAGTTTAGAACCGCTGCTTTAGGACACTGCCTTCAGTGTCTTAATGCAAGCCTGGTGGTTCGTGGGGCCCTCCTCCTAGCCTCTCCAGCACCAATATGCTGCCTGTTCCTCTCCTCGGTTTTCACGTCTCTTAGAAGCTTCTTTCTGCTTGGTTTTTTGGCTTCCAGCCCCCCACCCCCACACAGCCCAGGAATCGGCCACCGCTGGAAGCGCAGTTGCGTACACACCATCCACCTCACTTTTCTGCTTTTCCCTCTGCTTTAGCATCATGGTCCCTTGAGCCCTGAGCTCCCATTTGCTTTCCCCACCCAAGGAGGCCCCTGAAAGGCCAAGGGCTGTTTTCTGCCCTCCCTAAGGGGAAAGGGCAGAGGCCAAAAGGGCTCCCCCCTTGGCGCATGTCCCCTTCTCTCCAAGATCTCGGCTCCCAAAGTGCTGGCTGCTCTAGTTCCTCCCCAGTGCTTCCAACAACTGGTTTATTTTTTTTTCCTTTGTATTTGATTCAGCTCACATAGTTCATGGCAGGCAGCACCCAGTTTTGGTTTTTGTTTTTTTAAAGAGATGGTGTCTTGCTGGGCATGGTAGCTCCCACCTGTAATCCCAGCTACTCGGGAGGCTGAGGTGGGAGGATCACCTGAGCCCAGGAGTAGTTGGAGGCTGTCCAGCCTGGTGACAGAGCAAGTTCTCCATTTCTTAAAAAAAAAACCAAAAAAACAAAAAACAGAGAGAGAGAGATGATGAGGTCTCGCTCTGTTGCCCAGGCTGGGTTCGAACTCTTGGCCTCAAGGGATCCTCCTGCCTCAGCCTCTCAAGTAGCTGGGGCTATGGGCGTGTGTCACTGTACTTGGCTAACACCTCGTTCTTTAACTTGCTTTTTTTGTTAGCTTGCTTAGAGGTTTATCTTGGAGATCTTTCCCCATCCTCTTACAAAGAACCTCTTCATTGTTTCTCACATACACACGGTCTTTTACGGGTGGGCCGTCACTGGTTCAACTGGATGGTTTCCAGCATGTGGCTCCTCCAAACAGTCAGAAATTATCCATGTGAGACTTTTCATGTGCGTGTGTGTATCTAGAGATAACCCAAGAGTGTAACTGCCAAGTCTTTGATGCGGATGAACACTTGTCACTTTTTGAGCTGTCACCTGATTGCCCTCCCACCAGGTCACCCTCCCCTGTGCCAGGTCTGAGAAGGGCAAGCTGATTTTAGCCCAACGGCCTAGAGGCCATGGCCAGACCGAGACCCTGGGGAAGGGACAGGGCTCTCCCGTTCCACGCTGGCCCCTGCGCCAGAATCCAGGTCACACCTGTGGTCTCTCTCAGGACACATTTGACATCCGGATCCTGATGGCCAAGTCTGTCAAGTACACAGTGAACTTCTTAGAAGCCAAAGAAGGAGATTTGCACAGGTACCGGCACCCGCGCCCCATCCTGGGCCCAGCTCGGGCCGAAGGTCAAGGCCACCACTGGCTCCCACTGGCATCCTGCCGTCCCAGGGCAGGAGGGCAGGGGCCCCAGGCCTCTGCACTGGGTCCCCCTGTTCTGTCCCAGCAGCCACTGCCCTTTGCCTTCCAGGATAGAAATCCCATTCAAATTCCACATGCTGCATTCAGGGCTGGTCCACGGCCTGGCTTTCTGGTTTGACGTTGCTTTCATCGGCTCCATGTGAGTGCAGCAGAGCGGGCCGCGCTGCTCCCAGGGGCTCCTGCCAGGGGCTGTGACCCGGGCTGGGCTGGGGGTTGGGGGTGTGGGATGTGACTCTTCTCAGCTCCACTCTCCCTTCCAAAAGGGGCTGAGCGCTTGTCTTTGAGCAAGAGACTGTTGTGGGTGGGGCGTGTGTGTCTGCCCTGTTTTGAGTACTGTCCCTCGTGGGCCCTTGTCTTGTCTCTCAGCATGATGTGTCAGGGTGAGGCTGCACAGCCCTAGTGCACACACGTGTGTGCATGTGTGTGTGCCTGGGGCCGCCTGGGAGCCAGCCTGTCTCAGCTCCAAGGCCCCAGGGGGACCCATCACAGCGGGGCGGGCACTTGGGGAGAACTCAAGGTATACAGGGTGGTGGGTGACCCGAGTGGTGGCACTGGCTGAGTCAAGTGCATGCCTGTCCCTGCTTGACAGAATGACCGTGTGGTTGTCGACGGCCCCAACGGAGCCCCTGACCCACTGGTACCAGGTCCGGTGCCTGTTCCAGTCACCACTGTTCGCCAAGGCCGGGGACACGCTCTCAGGGACATGTCTGCTTATTGCCAACAAAAGGTGTGCGCTGTCGCCGGGGGCTGGGGGAGGCCGGTCCACCCGCCCACTGGCTCACGTCACCTCCCTCCTCTCCACAGACAGAGCTATGACATCAGTATTGTGGCCCAGGTAGACCAGACGGGCTCCAAATCCAGCAACCTCCTGGATCTGAAAAACCCCTTCTTCAGGTAGGAGGGGCCCTCAGCCCACTAGGGGGTGCTGCCCCCGGCCCTGCAGCCACCCCCACCCACCGCTGGCCTGCCATCCCCTGCCCACGGGTCTGTCTCTGCCACAGATACACAGGCACGACGCCCTCGCCCCCACCTGGCTCCCACTACACGTCTCCCTCCGAGAACATGTGGAACACGGGCAGCACCTACAACCTCAGCAGCGGCATGGCCGTGGCTGGTAAGTCAGCCCCACCATAGCGCCGGCCCACACAGGGGTGGGCACAGCCAGCAGCCCTTGGTGGCAGGCCTGGCCCCTCCTCTGCCCTGGGGTGTGCCTCTGGCACCCCCACACAGGACACTGACCTCTCCCCCGGTGCAGGGATGCCGACTGCCTACGACCTGAGCAGTGTTATCGCCGGCGGTTCCAGCGTGGGCCACAACAACTTGATTCCTTTAGGTGAGTGGCCCCCCAGGGGGGCGGCGACGGTGGTGCTCAGGGCTGGGAGGGGCCAGCGGCTGGCCAGGTCGGCCTGTGCTTGGTCCCTTCACCTCTTGCTCTTCCTCGGGGCTCTCGGCTGAGGCCCCGGATCCTCTCTGCCTCGCTCTGCTGCCTACGCCCATGGGCCGGGTGGCTGGGGGCGGTGACGCCGTCTCCCTTCCTTCCTTCCTCCCTCTCGCTACGCAGCCAACACGGGGATTGTCAATCACACCCACTCCCGGATGGGCTCCATAATGAGCACGGGGATTGTCCAAGGTAACGGCGGGTGGCAGGGGCGGGTCCCTCGGGGGCCCAAGCTAGCGCGTGTCGCTGTCCGTCTGTCTGGGCGCCAGCCTGCCCTGTTGCCTGCCCTCTCTCTCTCTGTCTCTGACTCTGCCGGGGGCCAGGCGGGCCGGGAACAGCGCTGGCCCCTCAGTGCCAATGCCCACCCCGCAGGGTCCTCCGGCGCCCAGGGCAGCGGCGGCGGCTCGAGCTCGCACTATGCAGTCAACAGCCAGTTCACCATGGGCGGCCCCGCCATCTCCATGGCCTCACCCATGTCCATCCCGACCAACACCATGCACTACGGGAGCTAGGGGCCCCGCCCCGCGGACTGACAGCACCAGGAAACCAAATGACGCCCCCGCCCACCCTGCCCCACCGGGCGGCTTTCCCCCTTGTACTGGAGGAGCCTGAACACCTGGTCACCGCCCTCTTTGCTATGGGAACTTGGACACTTTTTTTACACAGCGTTGCCGCCGCCCCCACCCCACCCCCACATCCCGGCCCTGAGCGCGTGTCGCTGCCATATTTTACACAAGATCATGTCGTGGGAGTCCTCGTCCCCCCTCCTGCCCTCTCCACCCTGCCCTGGGTTTGACATCTGCTGTAACAGGCGTGCCGGGGCCTGCCAGCTGCACCAGGGTGGCAGGGGTGGGGGGGCAGGGGAGCAGCTGCCCTGCGCGTCCCTCGGCACCTGCCCCTGGCCTGGCTCCAGAGGGAAAGCGGCCTGGCCGGGCGGGGCCTCCCCTTCGGCGACCAGGCCTTGGTCACAACGGGCGTGACATGCTGCTTTTTTTAGTTTTATTTTTTTACGAAAAGAACCAGTGTCAATCCACAGACCCTCTGAGAAGCCAGGCCGGCCGGGCCGAGCCAGCAGCCCCTCCCCCCAGACTCAGGGGCTCAGCGGCGAGGGGCGGCCCGCCGAGGCCCCCCCCACCAAAGGGTTCACCTCACACTTGAATGTACGACCCGCCCCACCGTCGGGAAGGCCTCCGTCCTCGGCCCCTGCCTCTTGCTGCTGTCCTGTCCCTGAGCCCCTGCACCCCACACCCAGAGCTAGAACAGGTGGCCGCAGGCCATGGGCCTGGAGGGAAGGTCACCGTCAGCCGCTTGGGGCAGACGCAGACACACCTCAAGGATCTGTCACGGAAGGCGTCCTTCTCCCTCGTAGCTAACGTTAGGCCTGTGCACTTCCCCTCCGTATGCGTAGATTGCTCCTGTCCCTACTACTACGATGGCATTTTGGCCCCTCCCAGACTGGGAAGGGACCTTGCAGGGACCTCTCCCTTTAAAAAAAAAAAAAAAAAAAAAAAAAAAAAACAAAATAAACAGCCGAGGAAATGCGTGTTTCAGCACAGGCAGTTTTCTTCTTCTGCTCCCCCGTTTCTAACACCCCAAACCCAGAGCTGGAGCTCAGGCCAGGCGCGGCCCGCAGCGCGCACCCAGGCACGACGGGCTCGGCCAGGCTGCCCCTCGGCCCTGCCTCCCACAGCGGGCGTCGAGTCACGTCAGGGAAAGCAGGCAGCCCCGCAGGCAGCCGAGGGGCGTGGGGGCCCCTGGCCCTGCTCTGGCGGAAGCACCCTGCTCAGCTGCCCCTCCCCCGCCTTTATATAAATTCTCTGAATCACCTTTGCATAGAAAATAAACGTGTTTGCTTTGTAAGAAAAGTCTGGAAAGTAGCAGAGTGATCTCGAAGTGTCAAGGGAGCCTTCAGTCATCGTTCGGGTGTGGCTGGCTGACAGACATGTCCCCTGAGGTTTTGCCTGGAAAAGAGAAACTCCCAGTAGCAGCCCCAGGACGTGTCACCTTGGAGGGCCGGGCGGGCAGCGCCCTCGCACAGCTGGAAGCGGCTCCTTACCTGCAGGACCAGCGCCTTCTTAGGAGGTGGCCAAGGACTGTGGCAGAGTGGGTGGCAGTGGTACGTTTGGGGGCAGAGGTGAAACTTGGGACATAGGCCCCAGGTGCTCCGGAGGCAGTGACTGGAAGAAATACAACTGGACGAGCCCTCCGGGGTCAGCAGCAGGGCCAGCCCACACCCCCACCCCCCACCACAGCCGGCAGCCCCGCCTGGGACACCCTAGACACGCACCTTACAGCCCAGGGCCAGGAGAGCGTGGAGCAGCACGACGGCAGACAGCAGCGCCGCAGCCACCAGCCTGGTGTCCTCGCGGACGACGGGCCAGAGGGTGAACACCAGCCCAGCGGCTGACAGGGCCAGGGCCAGCACCCCAAAAAGCCACTGCAGCCATGGCACAGGAATGAGCCACAGGACCTGGGGAGGACATGAGCAGCTGGTGACCACGCTGGGTGACCCCCACAGCACCCACCACCCACTCCTTGCTGGGCCACACTCACCACCATGGGAATGAAGACGAAGAGGGAGTAGCCGTAGACGCTCACGGTCTCCAGGAAGGTGTAGGGTCCCATGCGCTCCCGGACGCCCTTGCGCCACCACAGGAAGCCCCACAGCGCCAGTGGCACCAGCCACGCATAGCAGTAGATGGTGATCCCAGCCACGGTCACTGGGGGCAAGGCAGGCAGTCACGCCCTTTCCCTGGGAACCCTTGGCTCCCCCAGCCCTGCCGGGTGCTGGGCCTGCTTACCCTTGTGGAACTGGGGGCTATAGTGGATGGAGGGGTCCCTCCTCTGGGCCAGCACCAGTGTCAGGTTGCCGGTGACAGCCAGGACGAAGGCCAGCGTGGCGCAGATCCAGAAGGGGCCTGGGAAGAGGAGGGGCCGCTGAGGCTCCCAGGCCCAGCACTCCCAGGACAGTTGGACATGTCCCATCTCACCTGTGCTGGGACCACAGCCTCTTCCCAAGCCACACACCCAACTCGCCAGGTCACTGGTGACCTGGTGGCCAAATCCAGTGCCAGCTCTCCATTCATCATCCCCCTCGTGGAAACCCTCAGAACGTGGATTCAGGGTCGCATGCTCTTGGCCTTCGTCTCGCCTCACTGAGGGCAACCCCTCCACCCATGGCCTCCCCCTCCACTCCTCACCCTCCTCCCCTGTGTGTGTGCTCACTCCTGGCGTGCCGTCCTCCAACCCTGGGGCCTCTGCCCTGAACAGTAGGTTCAAGTTCAAGTTCTCACAGGGGCGTCTCCAACTCCACCGGCCACACTAGCTCTCTCAGAAGTAGCAACTCCATCCCTCTAGCAATCCTGGCAGAAATCCCATGAGCCATCCTCGGCTCCTCTCCTCCTAGTCCGCATCTACTCTGACAGCAAATCCGGTCCCTCCATGAATCCAGCCACCCACAGCCTGCCCCTACCATGGTCACCTCCACCCCATCTCCTGGCTTCTGCCCTCGAACCCCACGGTGGCCAGAGGAGCCCTGAGAACATATAATTAAGATCCCTTCTCACCACAGCGTGGGCGGCCCATGCAATCTGCCCCCTCATCTCTGCGAGCTCCCAGCAGCAGCTCACTCGGCTCCAGTGACACACCCACCCTTCAGTTCAGGAGAGTTCCCGCCACAGAGCTCATGTACTTCCTGGAACCGTCTTCCCCTAGGTCTCCCCCGCCTCTCCCCATGCCAACAAGGCTCGTTCCCTCGCCCTCCTCAGGGAGGCCTGCCCTGAAGCTCCTGCACAGAACAGCAAGGCCGCGCACCCTCTGAACCACTCTGCTGCTCTCTGGCCCCGCCACCTCTGCAGTCTGTCTCCATCTTCCTGAACAGAAGGTAAGTCACCTGGTCTCTGCCACTGACTGATTTGTTCTCTACTGAACACTGGGGCCTGGCACTCAACCCACATTTGTAAAGTGAATAATAAACTGAACTGAATGCACAACCTCACTCACCGTACAGATCTGGCCGATTCCGCAGATGGTGCCGGACAAAGTTGTGACCAGGCCGGGGCAGCAGTGAGCCTCTGATCCTGTCCAAGACCTGGGGGACAAGGCTGGGGTACAGGATGGGGCCTCCCATCCACGTTCTGTGTGCACGTCTGCTCATTCCACTCCTGCCTCTCCTGCTCCAAACCCTTCCTTGACTCCCCATCACCCTCAGGATAAAACCCAAACCCCAGCTCCTTAACATAGCTCGCAAGGCCCTTTGTGATCTGGCTTCTGCCTGCCTGTCGCCCACCTCACACTCTCCAGCCAGATCCAGCGCCAGGCAGCTTCTGGGACACTTCACATGCCTCCTCCTCACCTTTGGTCTTCTGCATATGCTGTTCCTGTGCCTGGAACATACTTCTGCTTCCCCTACTCTGCCCAGGGAAGCCTTCCTTCCCCTTTAGATCTCAGCGAATTCCTCATCTCCTCCAGGAGGCCTTTCCCTGAGCCACCAGATGGTGTGTGTCCCCTATTTTCCCACAGCCCTGGACACACCATAACCCTTAGTTATGGTCCCTTCTAACCGCCTGGGTGGGATCTTTTTTATCCCACGTAGCCATGCCCAGGTGAATGGTGGCTGAACCCCATGCGAGACTCCAAGCCCCATCTGCCCACTTCTGAGGCCTGACCTGTAAGGTGTCCACGTCAAAGAAGCTCTGATAGTAGCCAAAGGTCCAGAATCCAGGCTGTGGCTTCTGCTGCTCCTGTAGGAGCTGCACAGCACGGGCTTTCAGTGCCTGCCCTGACAGCCCGGATCAGCCCGGGGCTGGACAAGAGGCGGGGCACGGGGACTTAAGTGACTCACCGCTGCCTTGTCACTGTCCTCCTCCACCTCATCCTCGGCTCCATACCTGCCATCTGAGCCCACAGCCACAGCCACGTGCCCTTGTGGGGTCAGCTGACCACTTCTGCTTGTGGTGGCTGCATCTGGGGTCTCAGCCAGAAGATTAGTGGCTTCTTCAAATTCTATGGAGAGGGAATACGGGACGCTGGCATATTGTCGGGGTGGAAACAATTTGGCTTGGCCCACTGCTCATCTGGTGGGCTTCTGTGACGATTTCAGTGCTCTCCCCAGGCAGACATCCTCAGTTCGGGGGAATGGAGAGGAGGTCTGTTCCCTTTCCCTAACATGGGACTGCAATTTAGTTGGTCCTGGGATGGGGTCAAGGTCTGGGGACTAGAGGCTCGGGTTCGAGGTCTGAGTTCAGGACGGGAGCGGGGTTAGAGTTAGGGATGGGTGTCTCTCCCAGGGCGTCAGGGTTCACAGCCCACTGGGGTTCTGGTTGGAGGAGTTGGAAGCTGCATGGGAGGTTCTGGCGAGGGGCGGGAGTAGGAGCTCCGGCCACGTCTGGGCCGCACTCACCGTGGAAGGTCAGCTCGTCGGCCGCTGCCATGGTCGCTCAGGGGCGTCACCGCATCCCCCCTCTGAGAATCGAGGCCGAGCGGGCCCGCGCCCCTTCCGGAGCCTGTCCGTCAGCCCCGAGCCCTACCTGGCGGCTAATTGCGCCCACGGGGGCTTGCACTGGCCGCCCGGGCCCCACAGGTGTACTCCGCCCCCCTCACCTGAGTCCACCTGAGCCGGCGTGGCTAGGGCTCTCTACGCCTGCGCGGCCCGCCCACCAGCCAGACGCGACCCTGCTCGGACTGGACAGCAACATCCGGCGCCGTTCCTTTTTCTACTCTCTTCCGATGGGAAGCCACATCCGGTAAAGTTGGCGCGTGCGCAAAAGGCTCCCGGGCCTTTTACTTCGGGTATCAAGAGTTCCTTTTCGGAAAACGGACCCCAAGCCGATGGCGGCGGCCGCTCTGAAGAGACTTTGGTCCCGAAGCCGCGTAGAGGCGGGCAACGCGGCGGCAGCGAAACCGGGCGTGTGGGCTCGGTTGGGTGAGTAGTAGCGGAAGGTGGAGGGATGGGCGGCTGCTAGGGTCGGGCGGCTCTCACCGCGCTTCTCTCCCCTCAGGCGCCTGGGCCCGCGCGCTGCTCCGGGACTACGCCGAGGCCTGCAGGGACGCGGCGGCCGACGCTCGGGCCCGGCCGGGGCGCGCGGCGGTGTATGTAGGGCTGCTGGGCGGCGCGGCGGCCTGCTGCGCGCTGTCGCCGAGCGAGGCTGCCTTCGAGGAGGCGTTGCTCGACGCGTCGGGGACCCTCCTGCTGCTGGCGCCGGCCACGCGCAACCGCGACTCGGAAGCCTACGTGCAGCGGCTGCTGTGGCTGCGGGGCCGCGGCTGCCTCCGCCACGTGAACCTGGGGCTCTGCTCGCTCGTGTACGAGGCGCCCTTTGACGCCCAGACCAGCCTCTATCGAGCCCGCTGCCGCTACCTGCAGCCCCGCTGGACCGACTTCCCGCGCCGGATCTTGGATGTGGGCTTTGTGGGTCGCTGGTGGGTGCTGGGGGCCCGGATGCACGACTGCGACATCAACGACGAAGAGTTCCTCCACCTGCCGGCACACTTGCGCGTCGTCTGGCCCCACCAGCTGCACTCCGAGACCAATGAGCGGCTCTTCGATGAGAAGTACAAGCCCGTGGTGCTCACTGATGATCAGGTGGACCAAGCCCTGTGGGAGGAGCAGGTCTTGCAGAAGGAGAAGAAGGACAGGCTCGCCCTGAGCCAGGCCGACTCGCTGGTGCAGTCGGAGGTCCCGAAATGAGTTCAGGGCTCCGAGCCCTGGCAGACTGTTTGCCCGGGATTGTGCAATTGGTGTGAGTGAGCCCCACATGCAGAGGCACTGAGATAAGTTATGTGTAGAGTGTCATTTCACTAGGTTGTTACAAGTCTGGGAAGCCTTTCTCCCTTTCTCTTTGTTCCTTGTTAGCTGGTTAATTCAGAGCCTTCTTGACTTAGGAGTTGGGGAGAGCAGTGACTTGACCTTGTAATGTTTATCACTGCGAGAGCTAGTAATGAGCCTTTTACATAGTCCCTTTGTTTTTTCACTGGGCCTCACAGTCCCCATGACATTGGTCAGGTGACTCCCAAACTCTCCCACAACCTTTCAGATTTTTTAGAAATTTGAGCCGAAGTGTTTTTATTCTGTGATCTATTCTGTTTTTTATTTTTATACGTAACAATTTTTCCCAGACACGGCGGCGATATAATGAGACCCCATCTCTAAAAAAATTGAAAAATTAGCCGAGTGTAGTGGCATGCACCTGTAGTCCCAGCTACTCTAGAGGCTGAAGCAGGAGGATCGCTTTAGGCCAGGAGTTCAAGACCAACCTGGGCAACATAGGGAGACCCTGTTTCAAAAAAAATAAGTAACATTAAGACATCTTGTGTGTCCTTCACCCAACTTCCCCCAAATGGGAACACCTTAAATAACGAGTACTAAAGTAGGGAATTGACACTGGTGTGGCTATTTGGATGTTATGGGGAAATTTTTTGCAAAAACACCCTGGTTTTACTATAGCTATTGACGGTGATTGGAAGTGGCTTGGAAGGATAAAGAATTTTCTGATCTGTAAATTGACGTGGAATTATAGATTCTGTGTATGTTATACTTCAGTAAACCTACAACACAGAATGCCATGAAAAGGAATAAGTTAGTGTATGTGGTTGGTACTTACATGGGTAATGGCAGTCATACATTTAAAGCTAAAGTATTAAGGGAATGAAACTACCTCTGTCACCTCAGTGGCCTGTGGCTAGTTAATAAAACCAGGAGATGAAACAACCATCTTTGTTGTAATGTTTGTGTTTGTGTGTTTTGCCATTTTTAAGTTTTGGCACTTGGACCTTCCATTCATAATATGAATGCATTGAACTATGTGTTAATTTTTATACTCTTATTTGTGGGGCAGGGGAGTATCTTATAAGTCAGCATCTCCGTTTTACAGAGGAAAAACTGAGATTCAGAAAGTTTGTTATTTTTCCAAGGCTGTGGCAGACCCAAGATTCAAACTCTGTAACTCCCAACCCTGTGACTTAACCCTCAATCTGGTGGAACTATCTTTAATCCTAATATCTTTCCAGAAGTTATTAAATACTGCTGTCACGTGGCATAAGTAAAAATTAAATGTAGAAATAAATATATAAAAATAAATGCAATGAAAACAAAAGACTAACGATGGTAAATTCTAATCCTACACCATTACCTGCCAAAGTCTGTACCTAAATGCCACCCACATTGTTAGAGGAATATCAGCCAACTTCAAGGAAGGGTTTAGGACATGCTGGCTTCAAAGCGGGATTTGTTTCTGTGATGAGAAGTATTGAAAGAGGAGCCACGTGTTCATTGGCTGGAGTGCAGTGGCATGATCATTGCTCACTGCAGCTTCAATCTCTTGGGCTCAGCAATCCTCCTGCCTCAGCCTCCCGAGTAGCTGGGACTTTGAGTCAGTAATTAAATGCCACTGGTGACTTATAGCCAGGGTGTATTTTCCACACAAATTCTCTGAAGCTGCCAGAGCTGGGAAGCTGAGAGGCTGTTGGCAGGAATTGTGGCTTGGCTTTGGTCAGGCCTTTCCCAGAGGAGAGTCCTACTGTATTTTGGCCTTTGCCCTAGCAGTTCCAGCCTCCTGTGTCTATTGTAAGGCAAGAGAATGGGAGCTGTGATGGGGAAGGGGACTGGGTGGACCTGGTGCTGCGCATCTTGGGGTACAGTCTTCCTGTTCAGTGCTGAGCTCCCAGCACCCCACAGTGCTCAGCCCAGCGTGGGCCTCAGCACAGTTAAGAGAGTTGACGGATACCGCGTGTGTACGTTGTGGGTGGGAGCTGGGGTGGTCTTGGTGGAGAAGGGAAGTGGCCCTGCGGTCTCGGCCTTGCTCTCGAATCAGAAACAGCAAAGCGGTTTCATTGCCTACATTCCCGTAAGGACAATAGGATCTCGGGGAGAAATGGGCTTTTCAGTAGGGTTTGGGTCTGAGCTTTTACGCTGTTTAGCTTTGTGAGTGAAGTGACTTCTCCATGCCTCAGGTTTCTTCTCTGTAGTTAGGGTTGTTAGAAAAATTAGAAACCACACTACAGCACTTGGCTCATAGCAGGCGTTCACAGTCCGTGGTGTAGCTGTGTGGGGAAGAGTATGGCTCTGAATCCACACTGTGACCTTCCCACTTTCCTAGTTTACTGTGGAGGGGCCACTGCCCTGCCTACTGTCACGGGGGCCACCATGTGAGTAGGACTTAGCAAATGGTGGAGCCAAGGCGTGCTTGTCCCTCAGGACCACAAGACACTTGAATCTAATATAAACACTTTCAAATTTTCCCTTCTCACAAAAAAGAAATATATATATATTCTTTTTTTTTTTTTTGAGACAGAGTCTCACTGTGTTGCCCGGGCTAGAGTGCCGTGGCGTCAGCCTAGCTCACAGCAACCTCAAACTCCTGGGCTCAAGCGATCCTCCTGCCTCAGTCCCGAGTAGCTGGGACTACAGGCATGCGCCACCATGCCCGGCTAATTTTTTCTATATATTTTTAGTTGTCCAATTAATTTCTTTCTAATTTTAGTAGAGACGGGGTCTCGCTCTTGCTCAGGCTGGTTTCGAACTCCTGAGCTCAAACAATCCGCCCGCCTCGGCCTCCCAGAGAGCTAGGATTACAGGCGTGAGCCACCGCGCCCGGCCATATATATATTCTTGATTAGCTTTAATCCTTTCTGCTTTCAGGCCTGTCCAGGAGTCATCCTCCATCACGTCCTCAGTGTGGCAAGTATCCTTCCTGCTGTTGTGATTAGGAAGGCCAGCAGAGGGCACCAGAGACTCAATTTCGAGAACGGGGCTGGCTTCTCCTTAACCTTACTTAGCCCCCATGGGAATGGCTAGCCTCAGGTTCCTTCTGTCCGCGTGCAGCAGTGGGCAGAGGTCGTGCACTGCCACGTGCATCCCTTTACCACGCTTTAGAACTGGTCAGATGATGGCAGAAGTCGGGGCTGCTGGGAGGGGCCGCTTCCATCCCTAGAACCTGCGCCTTTACCTAATCAGCTGGCAGAGGAGGCTGTGAGTGGTTCTGTTTGGATGGGCAGTGCCATCCCCTGAGCAGACACCTCCAGGAACTCTCCTTCCTGGAGTTCTGGGAAGAGCAGGATCACCCAGTTTTGCTTGAGCCCAGGAGTTTGAGGCTGCAGTGAGCTACGATGATGCCACTGTGTCTTAAAAAAAGAAAAAGAAAAAAGAACGACTAGGCAGCCATTGTCACGGGTAGATGAGAGGCTTGGCACTGCCAGATTTTCCTAACCTTCAGGCACTGAGATATCATGCCAGTAATTACAGGAAATCCTTCTAAATTGCATTAAACACTTGTACTTAAACACACAATGATCTTTTAATCTCCCCTCCGAGATCGGGCTTATCCTCTCTGCCACTGAGCTAAGATGCTTTTAGGATTTTAACTGAGTTGTGTAGCACAGGGCTTTCTCACTAAATTCCCCAAGACATTCTCCTGCTCAGTTTGTACAAGCCGCAAAAGAGAGGCAACATAATGATTTTTTTCCTCCCTTGGGAATTAAAGTGCGTTGAGGAAGGTGCAGAGTCCTGAGCTGGGAGCAGTGTGGATTGATTCCATCAACATCTGCCCACGCCAGGTGAGGCCAAGCACTGTTAGATCCTGAACAAAACACTCTCCCAAAAATGGTGCCTACTAAGAGATTCCACCTATTTCAAACTCTAGAAAATGCAGTCTCATCTCGGGTGACAGCCAGACGTGCACACAGCCTCGGTGCAGGATGACACTGTCACATAAAGGACAGGACAGTTGGGTGGATGAGAACCAAGCTGTTTGACAACAGCGATCACTTCTGGATGGTGGGAGAATGGGTTAGTTAATATTTTCATTTTCTTTTTGTTCATCACTATCTCCTAAATACTTCACGTGGAATACAGCATTCTAGAATAAAAGTTCAATCAGTTGTGTGGTTTTTTGAGACAGTTTTGCTCTCTCACTCTCCCCTCTTCCCTCCCCAGAAAACAGTTGACCTGCTTGCTGTCACTCATGATGAGCTTGCATTTTCTAGAGTTTGAAACAGATGGAATTATCTAGGAAGTAGAACCCTTTCTGGCTTCTGTCACTCAGCATAATTGTGAGATTCAAGCTACATGCATGTTTCAACCATTCATTCCTTTTCATTGCTGGGTAGTATTCCACCCTATGGATACCCTCCAACGTGTTCATACATTCACCTGTTGGGAGATAATTTGCGTTGTTTCCACCCACCTTAGTCTCCTTGGGCGCTGAGCTCCATCTTCTCAGCTCAGTGGGTCTACGTGCTCTGGCTGTGTCCCTGTCCCCTGCAGCAAGACCTGGGAGCTTTCTTAACGCAGTCCTCCGGGTGCCCGGTAGTGCTTCCCTTGCACGTTTGGTTTCTCAGGAAACACTATTCCTCATTGCATGATGTCCGGTGTCTTGAAGACATTTTATCATATATTTTGCCCAATATGTATTTTGGGGTTGTGTTCGGTGGGAGATTAATCTGGTCCCTCTCACTCCTTCTTGGCTGGAGTGGAAGTCTCACCCCATCTGCACTGGAGCCCTCACCTGCCCTTCCAACTTCCATCCTGCCCAATCTACTAGGCATCCTCTATACTGCTGCCAGCCCTTTACATATTGAT